CCCGTCTGTCCAGCGTGGGGAGTGTAGGCCAAATGTTCCATACGCCTTTGGTAAATTAGAGAGGGTCGTGCTCCTGCAGTGGAGACTAAACGACCTGATGATAAATAAATAAATAAATTCCCAAACCATAACACTAATACATCTTAAAATGTTAATCACATTAATTAACAAACTTAAGTTAAGTAAGTTTGTGGTTCCCCTGACCTTCAAAATAGGAAAACCTGAGCTTTGAAGGGTCAGTGGTGATGACCTGATGATGATGATGAATATTATGTTTTTTTTATGTTAGACAAGGCAGGTATTTGACTGCAATCGCACCTGGTTTTAAGTGAGATGCAGTCTAGGATGGTACATATCTGCCCTGTAAGTGCTTATTCACTCTCGCCTTGAAAACGCCCGGATTATAGTGTTCAGGAAATACAGCAGCAGGCAGCGAATTCCAGTCCCTAGCTGTTCGCATTATAAACGAGTCGTCGAAACGCTTAGTGCGAGCTGGTGGAATGTCGACAACGTAGGGATGGTACGCTAACCTGCGTCTGGTTCCCCGGTGATGGAAGGGGGCTGGTGGTCGTATAATTTCTTCGCACATTCTCCGAAGTGTAGCCTGTATAAAACCCTTAGAGAAGCAACTTTACGTTTATGATTTATTACATTAGTTAACTGATAAGTTTGCGATTTCGATAGGTCCCTATGTCAGTGTTAATGTACCTACGTACCTATACGTATGTATGAGTATTTCAAACCACAATAACGTGTCTTCAGCTATCGATAACACGTCGAAGGTTGAATGTTAAATGCTCATCTGTTTATAAAAACGTTTGTACGGAATTCGAAATCTGTTGAACATTTACGAGTATGTTAGTTCTATTTCGGCACGAATACTACGACCAGACTACGACTCTACATTGCGTTGGCCAATGGGCAAAAATAAAACACGTTGTGGATCCCACTTCGTAATATCTGATAAAAGTTACGTCATGCTAGAAATTAGCATTCTTAATGTTAATTTGAAGACTAATACACGTGATGTGTATTTATTTACATATCTTAAACTCTACTGAAGCCTAGGCGCAGACCAGCGATTTTTAGTTGGCCTATAGTTGGGCCCGATTCTAATTTGTATGAAGAATCTGCCGATATCAAATCGGTGTAATGTGCGTACTTTCATACATCTCCATACTGATTAACAGTCCGACCCAACTATCGGCCAACTAAAGTCGGTGGTCTGTGCCTAGGCTAAAAGGTGTATTCATAGATCATACAACTCCATTTTATTATCACGTAGAAAGTATTCATAATGATTCGATGCATTCAACAGCAAATAATCGCAAATTACCTATTCTTAAATGACTCTACTTTAGATGTTTACTACGACGAAGCTCTTGTTTTCTATTGATTTAATTACGTTGCGTAAACGAACTAAAGTCGCTGACATAGCCCGACGGATTAGCAAGCTGAAGTGGCAATGGGCAGGGCACACAGTACGCAGAACTGGACGGCCGATGGGGCAGCAAGGTTCTGGAGTGGAGGCCGCGTACCGGAAAACGCAGCGTGCGACGTCCACCCACAAGGTGGACCGACGACATGATAAAGGTAGGCGCTGGACGCAGGCCGCTACCAACCGGGCAACATGGAAAGCATTGGGGGAGGCCTATGTTCAGCAGTGGACGTCCTATGGCTGAGATGATGATGATGATGATGATGAAAGTTTTAAAGCTTTTATTTGCTGTAATATCCTGGTTTTATAGGAGTTGTAGAGTTCTGTGTAAACTAGAAGTAGTAGTCCAAAGCTGTTGTTTGGAACCTCAATAAGACAGACGTATTCACAAACGATGCTTGCTTATGTGAAGCAGAAACTCATTGCGAAGTCGGACGCACAGCGTTGAATAGAGCTCTGTGATTGGTTCACATGTGTCACTACGCCATCCACTCAAGTATTGTCTATGAATAGGTTTTTGGGAGCCTGTGCGTCCACGCGAACTGTACATAATTGTGAATACGGGTGTGAATGTATAAGTCGCTATATTATTTAGATTCTACGATCACATTTTCAGCTCTAGTCCACATACCTATTAGCTCTGACCTCATGTTATCATGACCAACTTGTTAATTCGTAGTTTATTAGCTATTTGACTTTAAAATAACGTCTTGCCATAAGGATAATGCGCAATAATTACAATGTAGCACATTTAATCTGAGACTGGAGAGAGGAAAGTATTCACAAGACAGGAAGTAAGTTTATAAGGAAGGCATTAGTTGATAAGACCGGATAAGTCGATAACTATAGCAATTACTTATTCTGTGACTATAGTTCACTTACCTAGTTGTAGAGTCGTCACATATTCTACCGGTTTTTGATTCGAGTTATCGAAGATATTTGTAGTCTTTAAATAGCCTAATGCCCGTTTTCACCATCAATCCATTATTTTTAAGTGACCCCTATGAAAACAAAATTACTGATTGTTACCTTAAACATTAGGGATTGGTAGTGAAAACGTTCATAAAACTGTCAAAACCTATGAGACCTCGTGAGGAGAGAAGGTGTTTGTTCGAACCTAATTACATAATTGGTTTGCAATTTTTGGTTCAAATTAATAATCGATAATAACGAAACAACAATATTCTAGTGCCCCGATATTTAGATCCCGTAGGTAGACGGCATAACACAAAGGCTTATGAAAAGGGCTTTATTTAAGAACTCACACCTGCCAGTATAATGAAAAGGGCTTTCTTTAAGAAATTACGTCTGCCAGTACTTTAAATACGACAATATTAAAGGTCGGTTAACAATAAATAAGGGCTTGTTCCGTCGGAGACATCCCGTTTTTTGAAGGATCCCGTTTAGTGCTAGTTTAGTAAACTTATGTTTTAATATTAACGTTCGCGTTCACACGAACATCCCGTTTGCAAAAAGCCGATCTAACACATATATTATGTGTGTTAAAACAACAGTCCAGTTTCGCGATTATAAGACTGCATTGCAGTGGGAACGAGCCCTAAGAACACAACATACTGTCGTAGGTATATAAAAGTAGATATAGTATATTTATAGTCGCTATGATGCGAACGCGAATGCGATTTGGCTCATCAATTTAGCGCCGTGGCCTTGAGTTCTGCAAAACACGTTTAGCGCGTCAAACTCACTTGATAGACATTAAAATCTATTGATAGAGTTAGTTTGTAACGTAAAAACAGAAACTTTTAGGTTAGAAAGTGAAAAGTAAACATAAAAAGTATACTAAACGAAGAGGGGTTTCTTATTTTGAATGATTTAGGTACTGAAAAACAAAGGTTATAAAATAGATAAACAGTTTCGACCACGTGGTAATACCAAAAAGACCGGGAAACGTATCTTCCTTCAAAAGTTAACAATCCACGGTTTCCATCTTCTTATCTGTTGAGGTTTAAGTCTTAAAGTGCACAGTTAGGATAGTTTTAGGTTAATGAAAAATAAGAAGATTACCTTCTTTAGTTTTCTTACTGCTTTTATCACCTGCCAGTAGCTTGTAGGTGCTGAGAAGGCTTCATTATAACCATGTAATGGAAGTGAGCTATTATCAATTCTAAATAAAACTATTATTAAATACATTCTTACGTAGTTTTATCAGAAATAGAGCCTTAATTGGATCGAGTATTTCTACAGTGAAAATAAATTATCGGCTCCATTTTCCTCATTTTCTTCAGGTAAATTGGTTCTATAAATAGTTTAAGAAACTGAATGAAACGAAAGTGAACTGAACGTGGAAACTTGTAATGCTGTTTTCTAAAATAATAGTCTGCTTAGCGAAAAAATATTTCTTGTTTCGATTATTTTTATTGGGTTATTATTGTAAGTCATATTATTTTCACTTTGAAAAAATTTTGATGTCACTTATTTACCGAAATTTCCGGAAACGCGAACCACTGACTCCGATGTCTCTATTTGCAGGACTTTTCTGTAGATTAATGGTTTTTAAATTCGGCTAGAAGAAATGTTTGAAAACTTGTTTTTGTTGGTTGTTATGTAGTGAGATTGAGGAATGCATCGATGGTGATTTTATCTATCTGAAATTTTTGTGTTAACCGCTTTAGACCTAAAATGCAGGTTTTGGGTTTGTTTATTGCAAGATTGGTGGATGTAGTCAATTATCACAAGATTAAAATCAATATTAATTACTTTATTAAAAAACGGCGATGTTTATTCTAATATTGTATTTTTTATTACTTTCTTCATTGAACAGTTCGTATTGTTGTGACCTTCTGGCTCCACAGTTGATCCAAACTTAAACAATTCAAGAATATAAATTAAGTGCTCGCCATAGAGTATTCGTTTAGCATCGCAAAAACTACGCATATAGCCGAGTATAGTATCCATGTGTGTATATTATTGCGGTGTACGTGAGGAAATGTCATGCGTGTGCGTGCGCACAGATTAGGCGTATTTATCACTCTCAGACAGGTATAGTAAAAAGCGGGTGTTTTATACCTATTTTATAATGATAAGAGTTGGCACAGTGACACAAAGAGTTACAGAATAAGTACGAGTAATACCTAGTTTGTGTTCAGGAAGGAATGATAATTAAAAGCTATACTTCAAAATAGCCAAACATATGTTACTGATCTCAAACCTGTTAACCACTACAGCAAGGGTGCAAGGGTTAACAGGTTAGAGAGCTAAGCTAGAAAATGCAATAATTTGTTATCGATCCGATTTCAAAATCGCATTGCTAATATTATGTTCCTAGTTCGGCACAAAACAAAGATGCCAAAAACGTGGTTTTAATTAATTGATATTTGATATCAAACTCGGTTTCAATAGAAATAAATCTATGTAATTTAATTTCCACTAGATAGGCATAAACTGCTACCAAGAAACAACAATTCTCCGTTTTGGGAGTGGCTTCTAAAATTTTTATCTTTGTTTGTTTTGATCTTACGCGGCCATGTGTGACGTGTATACGCGTTCTATCACGCCAGTGTGCGTGTTTCACTCGCGAACGTATTTATTTTAGGCACCGCCTGTACCCGGCTCAGTTCTCCTTGCCCGTCCGACTGATACGTGTCAGTGATTGTGAATTTGAATTCTAAGTTTGATAGGAAAAGGTTGAAAATGTCGGCGTCACCGATCGCGAGGCAAGCGACGCACAGTCAGGCGATACCCTCGAGGAGGGTGCTCATCACAGACCCAGCACAGATGCCGGATGTGTACTCCAGTACCCCTGGAGGCACCTTGTATTCGACCACGCCTGGAGGTAGATACCTTAATTACTTTCTATGAGGCAATTTAGAGTTGTTATCCAAGTTAAGTAGGCATTTGTGTGCTTAAAAGCCTTAGATTATACGTCATCATAATCATAATCCTATAGCAAACATGTCATTTAGGTAAGAAGGTTCAGCAAAACATTTGAAGTAATTTTTAAGTTTCCGAGCAGTTAAAAATGACTAGTTTAATTTTGTCTGATTCGTTTAATCATTACAACACGTGTTTTATAAAAAAAAATCTTACTTTGTAATTAGTAAGTATTCTTCGTAATTTTATAAAAAAATGCTATAAAATCAAAACGTAAACGATAATGAAAGTCGTTCACAAAGCCTATTCAACAAGTTACAAAGGGGACGCCTTTGTTAAAACTTCGCGGGTGCGTCAGCGAAAAAAAGTAACAAATTGTTACAAAAGTTGCAATATAACAAAGCAAAATTATAGTAACCAAAATTCAAATCTTCCATGTTTATATTATCTGATTCTAAGCTGTTTATCTATGTCACAGATTAGGTATAAAGCGAAGATATTATTAATGTCAGCGATAAAGTCATGAAAATAGAGCTAAGTAGTTTATCAGCAGTTATTTAACCGTATCATGATTGCAGCAGAAACTATGCTTCTTTGGTAACATTAAAATAATGATTTCGTAATGAAGATTGACAATCATAAGAACCTAGCAACCTACTTACAAACAGCAAAATAAAAAAAAAGAATATAAACATTTAAATATTGAATTTAATTCCTGGCCATTCTTATTATTAAATTATCGGTCAGAATTAACTTTTTTCTGACAGAACCTTACAATTAGATGTTTTTTTTCTAATCACGGTTGTTGAAAGTACCTAGTTTTACGTCGTTCTAGCCTTCTAAACTAGCCTTAGGAATCTGGATTAAACCGGTAGTGGGCGGGTTCTCTTAATTATAGGCAGGTCTAATTCAGTCCAGTGTCGCAAGGGTTAACAAGATGTCCACTCGGCTTATATTTAGATGATACAACGCCCTTTTGAAGGTTAACTGATTCAAGATTCAAGGCAATGTCAATAGTTGCTGTTTAAAGATTAATAAGGTTACTGTTTCTTTAAACTAATGCCCGTTTTCACCATCAATCCCTAATTTTTAAGTGACCCCGATGTAAACAAAACTCATGAAAATTCCTGTTATTTGTTACCATTAGGGGTCACTTAAAAATTAGGGATTGATGGTGAAAACGGGCATAAATATTATTTACAAACAATTGTAGCTACGAACAGAGTAGCTCTTACCTTTTACAAAATGGCATTTAAATTCAAATTCTTAGTTGAAAACTAAAAAATAGGTATAACTACACTATAGTATGTTATTGAGGATAAAATATAATGTCAACAACAAGTTTTAAAGGTTTACATAAAAAATAGTCTATGTAGACGTCAGAAGGTTCAAAATGGCTTGGACTCGTGTTATCTGCAAAGCCGGCTACTACGCAGTTACGCAGTGTTATGTCACAGCACATGGCAGATAAAAATTAAAACCGGTGTTGGTGCGAATGTAATTTGGAACGTGATGCGTGTTGCCAGGGCGATAAGGGCCAAGGTTAGATTTTAATCTTGCAGAGAAGTAAATAAAAAAAAAGATTCGTTGTTAATTATGTTTGTGCCTTTTTCCTGTGTTACGGATTTCTTCAAGCGTGCGGATGTATTACGCGGGATACACGCACGCGGAATGGAAAAACATGACTATGAAATGTGGGCAGCCCGCATGCGGACAAGATTCGCACGCGTGCCGAAATCCTGATCATAGGGAAAAGGCACTAATATCATCATGAATACAACCATAAAATGGCAATATCTTAGTACTAAATAGGAATAATATTCCTTATTATAAAATGTAATCTGCCAAAATACAGGAAACAGTAACCTAAACATGTTTTGTTTTCTTTAGAAACGTAAGTGTAGCTAAATTACCGTGATGAATGGATATTCTCTCTCTTTGCCGCTAATTTTACTAATTTCATGAAATTGTAACACACAACACATATTATTCAAATATTTAGTTTAAAGATAAAGATTTATCGAAATCCATTCGAAAGAAACTGTGGGCAGAAGCTGTGAGAAATACAATAGTACCTATACTAAAATAACTATTAAAACAAACTCATCTTATAGGAATAGGTAGGACTCAAATTTCCATACAATAACAATGCTACCTATTGTTATAACACACTCGAACATGAGTGATGTTGGCCACGTGTAGGTACGAACGACCACTTTACACGTGCAGGGGTACGGACTACGGCACGTCAAGCTGAACACAGAGGTCTTTATCTCTTTGTAGTAAAAGTTATTTTGCGACAAAAATGTATAATTTGATGTGATGTTGACGGTACCTCAACTATGACGTTATTTGGATTTAAATACGTAGTAAAAAACAGATAAAAGATTTTAAGCTTTTGCGTTCCATTTCAACTAAAAATTAAAGACACGGGTACTCACGGCTTGACGTTTCGGCTGCTATGCTGCAGCCGTGGTTACAAGTAGACTGGCGGACCTGACCTTCACTGGTTGGGTTTTATTGGCGGTCAAGCTGTAGATGCTGGCTACACAGGAGTTGCAGCGGTGGGAACGAGAGGTGGGAATAGTCCCGTAAGCAGACTGGCGGCTCGTAAGACCCGTGTCTTTCTGTTTATAAACAGATGTTGCCTACACAATTCCCTGCTTTCTGAGGGGAATCGCCTGGAGCTAAAGGTTTGATTTCCGGTGGGGTCACAGTTGAAAGCGAAGTTTTTTTGCGTCTGGGTTTGTCGGGAAACGGTCTCGAGTAGGTGAAATCGTACCTATTTGGTTTGTTGAACATAACATAACCAATGAAATTTTTATTTAAACTCGTACACACGCACTTTGTAAATTAGTAGTGATAGCAGTGCCTCTCTTACACACACTGAATAAGTAGTTGTCGCAAAATTAACACAAACAATACATGTGGGAAAATATCGAATCGAAATATTCAGGCATTGATTTGTGTAATTTTGTTAACCCATCCACAGCCATCTAATTAACCAATTAGATTTATAATTTGAATGTTGTTTTGTGTTTCCCACACTGTTATTACCACCATATGGTCGGGGTCTCGGGAAGCTACCATTAATTAGGTTAATTACCGACAAAAATTGCTATTTGTGAATAGAATATTTGTCAATAGAGTGCGATGAGCCGTTAACGATGTGGGTCGGCGACCTCATTGACAGTTTTCGCAACATGGCGTTTTGCCATTACGTTTCATTTACGTTTCATTTTCGTTGTCGGCTATTTTAGTTTACGTTAACAGGTTGGTTGCGATTGCGAAATGTCAGCTAAACATTTATGAGAGTAAAAAAGTGTAGTCTTTTGTTTTTTACGCGTCACTCATCAACATATTAAATTATAATATCAAACATTCTGGAATTCTACACTTTCTGTTTCTCCAGCCTTTATTGAAAAAACATACTGAAACTACTTACTACTATTCGGGGTTCATTGGTATTCAGTTTTTACATAAACATCATTCTTAAGATATTACTTAGTGAACTTAAGGCACAACTTGGATAACAATAGAAATAATTGATCTAGGTATTTATTACTATTAAATATTTTTTTAAGAATAAGTACCTAGTTATCTCAATATTTTGTGTATTACTTTAATTTGTTTTTGGAATAAACCATTCAAATTTCTCTCTCTTTCCAGGCACCAGAATCGTCTACGAAAGGTCTTTCATGATGTCCCTGAGGCAATCACCGATCTCACAAACCCCACCGAAGTGTTCCCTGCCAGCTGCCCTTCTGAAGAACCCAGGTTCCGTCCCACACTCGGTCAGCTCACCTGTCCAGAAGAACTCACGTTCAAACTCGATCTCGTTCGACGAATCCCAGGAAACCTTCAGCATGGATCTCTAGACTTTAGGTTAGGTTATAGTATTATGAACAAATGCGTTGTGAAGTAATAAAAGAGCGTATTGCTCTTGGCTTAGCTTGGTTGGCTTACAGGACCTACGAGCAAAGATTAAAGTGACCAGATTATTATAATTATGTACTTTAGAATCTGGTCCTCAAAAAACTTAAAAATCCTGGCCGCCGGCGGCACTATGACCGTTAAGGCATTAACACGTTCACAGCTCCCACACATTTTGGAAAAAAGTAATGTATCAGTCACACAGAGTATTTGCAACTATTAAGTGCTACGCTGGCAAATCTTGTGTGCATTCACAAAAAAATAAAAATGAGTTTTAGTTAAAAACTTTTTGAAAATGGAATCACAACAGCATTTGTTTCAAGTACAAGGCCTAAGTAACACTGCTGCCACATCTATGTACTCGACAAATTAATGTTAAAAGACTGCTGGTTGCATCGTCATTTAGGTCTTAAATGTTAAGTAAGATTATGTTACTAGTTGTACGACGCGACTGACCCGCGTTATAAACGCAATCCTTTGCTGCGCCCCACAAAAACAATAAAAAAAACTAAAAAATAAAAATCTATTAAACAAAAAAACCACACTCAATTTTTAATGTAATGGATGGAACAATGTGTTATTAAAAAGCAGCAATGGATTTACTGTAAATAAACTTAGTTTAAGGCGTTTGACGCACTTTGTCTAGGTGCTTAGTATTTGTAGGTACTATTATTTTATTATTTAAGATAGCAAGTGCCATTACGTAGAAGGAAATTTAGTGAATAATTTTCTTCTGACTTGGTGTTGCTGAAAGAAAGTCAATCAGTCAGGCAATCTCAGAATATCATGGCTGGTGTCTACATATTTGAGCTTGTTTTTTGTACAAGATATTATTGTGTTATTTATATCTTATTGTACTTTAAAACTGACTTAACTGCCTCTATGATAATTATTGTTGGTCACAGTTGATATTACGAAATAATTCAATAATTATGAATTTGTCTTTGTTGTTTAAATTGTTAAAAATTATTAAATCTCTGCTGTTGATAAAATGATAGTTATTAAAAGTTGTTCCAAAGCATTTAAATAATTATAATTATATTTATATTAAAGTACATTAAGTCCTTTGACTCTCTTGTTTGAATGAAGCGTGTTAAATATTTATGTACGTTCAATACATTTTGTTAATGAATGAAATTGTTGGTACTTTGTACTACAATGTATTGCGACTGCCAGTATGTAAAAAAAATAAAAATTATGATATTATTTTAATGGTTTTATTTAAGTAATACGTATGAAAACTGTGCATCTACCTAAACTCAGTGTCAAAATGTGTTGTACAAACATTGCCAAGGTCTACCAATATTATTTTTATTGATAAATCGTATTAGTCGCAGTTGACGGGTTAAATACAGTCAAAACCCATAATCGGTCAAAACCACTTTTGACTGAAAAAAACAGTCAAAACCACTTTTGACTGTAACAATTATAAAGTAGCAGATGTATAATAATTTGACTTTAATCGCTCATACAATTTGGCAGAATTTTGTTGGGTACGTAGGTACGTAACTATGTAGTTTTGTTTTTAAGTACGAGTATATTGGAGAAGAATCTTTTTTGCACAACAATATTAGGGAGGTGTAATAATGCTCAGTTTAACTAAAATAATCATTTGTTTAGCTAAAATATTAATTTGGTTTCTTACCATAAATTGATTAAGACGACCCTAAACTGCAAGCATGATGCGGAATAGGTAAACCACCTAGCCTAGGCGCAGACCACCGATTTTTAGTCGGCCGATATTTGGGCCCGACTCTAATTTGTGAAGAATCAATCGGTGTAATGTGCGCACTTCTATACATGCCCATATTGATTAACTACCCGAGTAAACTATCGGCCAACAAAAAATCGGTGGTCTGCGCCGGCGATTCACGGTGGTTCGATTCTCACCTTAGGCAGTTCGATTTTTTCAAGTTATTTTAAAAATCTTTAGGTCGAGAGGCGACTCTTAACGCCAGAAAATTTCTAATAAGTAACATTGGTAAGTGTCAATAAGCCAAAAGAGAGTTGCAATTCCTCGCAGCAATAAGATTCATGCAACGAGAAATATTGCTACTAGAAATGATCAGGCGTTTGATCTTCTCATGATAATCCACATTCCTAGATTCGTGTTTACTATGCGTCGTCCTATCAAAGCTAAGATCATTGACCTCTTGCAGTGCTATTTCACAAACCTATCACGTGCAAACTTAACTACAACCTGATTTAATCCATAAAGTGTAAGGGCTAAGGTTTTATTTTGGGGGAAGGGAGGGTTGTGCAATCACTCAGCCCCTTGTCGCCCTCTCCCCTGCGCGAGGTAATCTGTCTGGATCTAATCGCATTGATACTTGCCTCGTTTTGTACATTTTTGTTTCAAAATAGTACCTTAATACAGCTCCATAAGACGCCATAGTTTAGCTCAATGTGCCGTCTTTACTAACCGGAATCGACGTGTTGGTACTCAATATACGCGGTTAATGAAGTAAAGATGATGGGTTTGTATAATGTAGTCTGTAAGCTGAATATCAACAAGTCGTTTCGTAAATAGGTATAAATAGAATAAAATATGCTTATTGGAGAATGGAGACTAAGTACGTTACAATTCAAACACATTCCACGAAGTTAGGCAAAAATTGAAAAGTAGGTAAATGAAAATCATACCAACAACATATTTATTAACATTTACGCGATTGCACCAGAAGGAGAGTAAAGTAGCAAACGGTAGGATATTTGACCGACATTAAAAGGGCAGATTTTTCAATCATCTGTTAAAAGATAATCTGACGATGGAAAAATCAGCCCTAAGTGAGATATAGGCTAGGGTAGATAGCCATTATTCAATAAATTCAACTTCCTTCTCATATCCTGGGGGTTGTTAACACTGAGCTGTTGTCAGACTAAGGCCTATTATAACAAACATCAAAAATCTGTCAAACCCCATACAAAAAATACATGGTGCAACTCAACCTTCATGAACTGCTGTAGGCGTCTGACAAGGCTCTATCGGACATGGCAAGAGTCCTCCAAATCACGGATTGCCATATCTTTTGAACGAAGTGATGTCACTCAAGTGTTTTACGTGGAATTCGAACCCCGGACCTTCGAGAGACTCGTATAAACACGAATTTGGAAAGATTTGATTGTTTGTTTGTATTGATAGGTAGGCTACGAAAGTCTGGAACTGGAAAAAGGACAGATTTGAAAAAAAAACTTTATTTTTATTTATTTTATTTTGTTCGAAACATACAGTAAAACAATAAAGACAAATTACCATTTCACCATTTATTTCTGATGATCATAGGTAGTACGAAGTTCACGGGGCCAGCTAGTGCTAATATGTTTAGAATATACTCGTACGTACACATACCGTCTGCATTCAGCCTGAGGTAAGGCGAGTACCTAGTCATTTCTATCCGTTTCTCTCACTCTCTCTGTCACAGTAACGTGAAAAGAGACGGACACAAATCGAGATTGTGTTGCGAAGTAGACCCCCATGTCGCATTTAGCGGTGGGTAAGCAAATAGCCATCTATTTGCTAGGGCTTAGCTAGGGTTACCAGATACAAGTTATTAAATACCTGAATAAATTCCACTGGAGTCGGGCACAGGGGAGGAAAGGGGATTGGGGTATAATATTTCCAGAAAAAATATTCTTAGTTTATAATTTACAAGTTTGTAAGTCCCAAGTAACCAGACAATATAGTAGATAGTTTACCCTTTTTCCACACCACATACACAAAACTTACAGTACTCAATCGAAATGGCACGTTGAAGGTGGTCTTCATCACCAGAGTGCGATCTCTTCCAGACAACACAAGATAAGACAAGGCCGTAGTCCTCTTAGAGCTCCTGCCCAAGAGTAGGTTTACCTACATTAGCAGAAAAACGTTGCCTTCTTGATAAATAGCTGAAACTCCTGACAAATTAGGAATTTTCCTTATATCTGGTAACCCTTAGCTTAGCGGATGCGGGGGCGGCCGTAGGGCTTCGCTAAACACATTACGCGGCCTCGCTGGAACGTGATCACTTTGATTTCAATGTCAATTATGGAAACTGCGGAGCAGACAGACTCATTCTTGAGTCGATGCTTAAGGTCGTCGCCACAGATCACAAAAACTAAAGGGGGACAAGGGGACGGGGGCGGTGTCGCAGCAATATGCCCTAAAACAGAACACATTGCTCGTGACAGCAATGATGACAGTGCGACGTCATAATGTAAACAGTTTACATTCCTTTCGTAGTACCAAAGATACCGCAGTGGATAATCAGCACATAATATTTTGATTATTTTGTGTGTGTGAATTTCTAATGCGACACTGAGTTTCGAACTCAGTGCATTAGTTGGCATCTCTCTATATCTCTATGGTCATCGCACATTTATCAACCCGGACAGGGATCGTCGGTAGGTACTTTTCTTGTTTCGTGCCGTCCGAAACAACGACTGTACACAGCAATGTTGCTATGATTGTTATAGTACTAAGTACCGTCTAGTTTCCCTGTACGACGACCCCATCTTTTTCCCCTATAGGGTGATCCAGACACCCTTCGTTACGCTCGCGACCAGTCTCGCTAGGGTGAGGGTACAGATGAAAAGGTGACCTTTATTCCCAAGGGCATAAGGCGTGTAACAATGCAGAGTAGTTGGTTGGATTACCTATTCGGTACAGATGCCTTTAGTACCCCTAATTAAAACGTTGCTCCGCAAATGCATTTGAATATCGGTAATTGTGTATTTGCATGGCATGTGGCATTACGAAAAAGGGTACCTACTAAGATAATGACTTAACTACGTGCGCTATCACCAAAATAAGACTAATATTTTTTTGCTAACCTGCCCTATTACAAATAGGGATGTTTCTTGGGTAAGAAAGCAAGAGTTTTAATTAGTCCGTCAGTTAGCTTATCAAAAACTACTCGACACGTATTTTTCACTTTTTAAAACTAATGAAAATGTAAAGAGATAAAGCGTGCCAAAGTTCTAAATAAAAGGCCCGTGACGTCAGTGAGTGCGTAAAAGTGCAGCACTTTTTGACGTTGCGCGGAACTTCAACGCACTATAACTTTGTAATTATTTGTTTGATTGACAATTCAAAATATACGTGTCCAATCTTTTTTTATATTAAAATTGAAGGACTAAAAAATTTTTTTTTGGAAACTAGCCTATTATAAGCAATACAAAATCGAATCGGGGCACATAGCTCGTAGAGCTGATGGCTGCTGGGGCAGGAAAGTTCTTGAGCCGGAAGACATAGCGTGGGTAGGCCTCCCACTAGGTGGACCGACGATCTGGTGAAGGTCGCGGAGGCGCAGGACCGGTCTTTGTGGAAATCCTTGGGGGAGGCCTTTGTCCAGCAGTGGACGTCTTTCGGCTGAACCGAACGAACGAACGTACAAAATCGAAACGGCACAATTTCTTTAGACGGTCTTATCAATATTTTATGTGCTATACCAAAAACTTTCGTCTCCATTATAGTCGCTACAGTCACCTTCATACTCCATATGACCTGCAATCTAGCTTTTTAGCTTTCGATCTTGTCTCTTTTTTATTTCATTAGAGTGGTCAACAAAGCGCATGTCAGGGCAAAAATACTGACCTATTAACATAATAGCTAGGGGTGGACGTCTCAAGAACCTTTATTTGTCCACCGCCACTCGACGAGGCACTCTATAAATTTTGCAGCTGTACTATACATTTTTACCTCAGTTCCGTCCCTTGCATCTTGGAACGATTGTAAATGTCGCTCTCCTTTTCACGTTGTTGAGCATTTTCTTCGCTGGCAGACGAGCAGTTTTAACCTCTATTACTTAGGTAGAAGGAGTAAAATTGAAATGATTGCTGGCAGATAAGTGGAGATGCTTTCAGACCCACTAATTAGAACGTTATGCATTCTCTAGTATCTTCAAAGTATGCTTAAGTGTTACTTGTATGAAGAAAAGAGAAAATTGCTGCCCATATTCTAACCTTTAGTACAGTACTATGAAACATTATCTGAAAGGGTTTGTATTGTATCCTTTGTACCTATATGAATTCTAAAAGGGTCGTGTACGTAACATGTTATTTGTCAACAGGGATTAATAGGTGTGACGAAACAGGTGTTCCATTCCGGCAAAGTGGTTCGGGAAATTGGACATGTTGGAATTATCCCTGGAGGCGTGGGACGCAGGTTCGAGTCCCCGGAACAAATAGGGAAATGAAAACCGAGTTTTTTACTCGAGTAAGTAGGTCACCCATATGCTCACTACTGTCAATACAATCATTTCAATCTGACGTCATGAGAAGGGAAGTGTTGCTGTAGTACTAAATTAAAAGCGATGGGTAGAAGCTTTCAAGCTTCCCCACGCGGAAGCTTTTTAGTGCCGACGTTTTTTAATGAAAATTGTATTCAGGTCAGGTCGACGTTGGAATCAACCTACATTTGCAGCGGGAATTTACGGGAAAAATTGTCGACTGCGCGTTAATCGAAGGTGACTCGATTCAATACGATTAAAGTCCGAGAGAGCGGCCGCAGGCAGGCCGCATAACGCCATTATTACATAAGCGCTCGGAGAACCGCACACGGCAGGCTGGTGGTCCAGCAAGACGAGAGAGTTATCGCGGATCGATTAAGGCAACGTCTCGAGCTTAATTGAAATTAATAAGCCGATCCACGATTTACCGCTCCGGTCGGGGTTTGTTTACAGGGCGGGCGGGGCTCGGTCAGCTGCTGCGCGCGCCGCGGTCGATAGCGCGGGCGGGCGCTTGCGTGCGCGTATCGAGCCCACTCGGGCCGTCGCCGCTAGCGGCCGCGCACGTCATGCATGGGACTTAGCGGCTGCACGCGCGCGGGCCTCATGGGCACCGTGCTGAGCTTCAGCCCGCGCGAGCGGCGCCCGCCCGCCGCCGCGCCGCCGCCCGACCGCGCCGCGCTCGCCTACTCCTACGAGCGGCTCAACAACGCCAAGAACCGCGAGAACCGCGACCTGCCGCGCGACGAGCGCCGCGCCACCCTCGACGACGCCGCCAAGATCATCTCCGAGAAGACGGCGCTCGAGAAGAACCTGAAGAAGCACTCGCTGTTCATAAACGCGCTCTCGTGGAAGAGGTTCTCGACGGCGAACAACAACAAAAAGAAGTTAGAATGCAAGAGCAAGAGCGTGGCGACGTTCCGGGCGCCGCTGACGGACAACGCGCCGCTGGACCGGAACAAGAACGTGAGCGCGCAGGGAGCGGTGTACGCGCGGCCGACGCCGGTGCCCGCGCCGCTGCCGCCGCCGGACGCGCTGCGGGCCAACGCGCTCAACAACAACGTGTGCTACTCGGAGAAGCTCCCGACGAGCGTGGTGGGGCCGGCGGTGGCGCCGCGCAAGACCGTCATCCAGGCGTCCACGTCTGAGCTGCTGAAGTGCCTGGGCATGTTCCTGCACGCGCGGTGCCACCGGCTGCGCGACTTCCAGGCGGGCGACGCGGTCATGTGGCTGCGGACGGTGGACCGCTCGCTGCTGCTGCAGGGCTGGCAGGTAAACAACCGCGCGCCGCTGGCGACATCTGTTGACGGCCGTACAAAGCCCCCGATTTTTAGCTAACATCTGCAGTGTGCATTATTAAGACTCCCGAGACACGCCTGCAGTGGCCCTGAGCTGTTTCCTTGTTTTGTTTTGTATTAGTTTTGTCTGCCAGTCAGCTCATGCCGCAGTCGAATTAAGCCAATAAACGCCGTCCTTGTCGGTCACTATTAATGGCGTTGATGCTGTAATCAGTTTACAGCAAGCTGGGAGGTACTCTGACGCCATGACTGACTCATTCAGTAACGGTAACGTTTACCGAAATGTTCATTGACCTTATGTAAAAGTCAAAGGTATTGATTGTCCCTTTCGGGGGCGTTTGACAATGAAATTGGTATCAATAGAAAAAAAATTACAAAGTAGGATCTAGTCAGCAAGGTTACTTTCAATGGCATCAATCCTACATACCTAGCAGTCAATAACAATTATACTTTTCTAACAAAACAAATTATGCGCAGAAGGTTGTAAATTCATATCATTGCGATCAAATAGGGCTTCTTCACATAACAAACATTGTATTGATCTGCAGTTTTACGATTCTTTTGCGTGTTCCGCAGTAGCTCAGTTGAAATGAGTCAAGTTTGCGCCAGTCTGAACCGATAGGGACTGTAATTAAGTTTTATTCTAAGGTACAGTCACGGAATGAAAAGGTTCGTCAGTTTTCAAATTGATTCCTTCAACGAATCGCGAGCACATATTACCTTTTGAAACTATGTTACAGAATAATCTCGAGTTAGAGAAAATAATCTTTAACTGTTCGTAAGTAAAGTTCAAAATTATTCAGATCAAAGTTGTTTGACAATTTAACTTGTCAAGAATATTATTACGATTGATAAACTAAAATCTTCTTGTTGGTTCAACCTGCCATTATTATTTCTTTTAAATAAAAAAAAAACTAATGTCATCATTGCATTGCACTGATGGGATAGAAAAATAAACAAGCAAAACCTTATTCGTTAGCAAACGTCATATTTATTGAAATGTTAGCAGCACTGTTTCTTGTACTGTTATGTTGGCAGGTTTTACTCTTACAGTACCTAGTGCAAGCGAAAACCGACACTAAGGTGACGAACCTTTTCATTCCGCGACTGTAAATTAGACATGTTATGGAAATTTACACTCTATAGCTACGTGAATTGCATTGTGGTGCAGAAAATGTCGCTTGTCATTTGCTGTGAGGCAGAGCTAGTTAAACATTGTCGCAAAATATCCCCCTGTAGGCAATATCGCTTATGATCACTGGGAATTACGATGGGCAACGTAACTTTGGCGCAGCTTGTTGTGCCAGCTCCTCTCATTGAGTTAACTCAAAATTGTGTTACAGTACAACCATGGAACAGCAAACAAGGTTCCTTTGTTTGTATTGTAAATACAGTTTCATTTGTTTGTTAGTAGAGATATCTCTGATCCTATGATGCTCTCTACTTTTTATGCCTTCCTTTTGAATTTTACTAGTCTTGCGTTGTAATGTAACACACTTTGAAAAAGTGAGTGAGCCATATCTCCCGGCAGCGCAGTGAATGATTTAGCGCAATAAAGTGGCGTAGCGCAATGTATCTCCACTGGGTAACCTTGCAGCATCACGTACGATGTGAGTTTGGCAGTAGCCAATAGTTAAGGATTTAGATTTATTTACTAAATCCTTAACTCTCAGCCTGTATTCAAATGGAAGACTATCTTAGGAAAATTGATTTAATTCTCTTAAAAGTTTGAATAGGATTTCAGTCAAACACAAGTGCCTACATACGTTACAGATTAAGAATGTCTTATGTGTTTACGAACAAAGCAGATTAAGTACTTAGGAAGTCTCTATGCGTAGTTCTCTGACTGATTACATACTCTATTGTGGCCTAATACAAAGAGGACCTCATTTATCACAGCCTGGAAATGAAACCTACCTTTAGTTTTATGTTTTTTCTTTTGAAAACATGACGTACTCGTACTCGTACTCGTAGTTTGTCAACCAAAACTACATCATGTTTTCAAAACCTAAAACTAAGTTAGGTTTTTTTTAGGTAATCAATGTAGTTAAATGGATATTTCTCTAAAATTAAATATAAAAAATACGTAAATGTAACGTTCGCAACCTACCCTTAAATAAAGAATACCAAAATCCTTAAAGGATCGCCAGTCCATAGAATTTAACCTGACCAAGTTATTTTTAATCAATTTAACCAAGTATGAGTCTTACCTGGGCATCAAACTTAATCAACCACGTCTAAAGTTCACCCTTGACATCCCCTGTGTTAAAAATAGAAGCGCCAGTTTAAACATCCTCGTTTATTTTACTGTTATTTATAACTCTCTCATTCTCCGGTTTTCCCAAATTCTCCGCATTATTCATAACGTAAAATATTTGCGCAAACATTTTTACCCCTCTACATACGTAGGCGGAGATTATTAAACATTACATTTTCAAAGTAGGTAGGTATATACATATATTGCTTCTGCAGCCCGCTCAAGAAAAAGAGTAATCTCTCATCCCAGACTTGGCATTTTCATCGGCACATAAACATTTCATTCAAATAGCTGAGCGAAGCGTACGTCAGAAGGAAAATCGATAGTCTGAAGACATGAATCGGGGTTTTGTTTAGAAAGAGACGGCAGATTTGGGGGAGGTCCACCCTCACGCGTGCCGCGGTTTCGGTAGCGTTTCGCAATACCAAGTTGCCGTTCCGAAAGGATGCTTTTCTCTGTAATGCGGATTGAAATTCGTGAGAAATGTCATGAATTATTCGAAATTTATTTCTGAGAAGCCTCTGAGTAATCCTAGGGTAGTTCTAAGAAAAGATTATGAATCATACATAATAAAATCGAATGACCTTGGTCTTATAATTTAACGTGTTTTATGAAAGCTCATGATTTTCTTGTTTCAATGCAAGCATGCATGTACACCATACGTAACTTCGATTATAATATTGCAATATAATGTTGAATTAGTCATATTACTTACTTCTCTATTCATATTAGTAGATCAAGTTAGGTTTATATTTATTGAGTTTTTTAATATTAAACTTACAAGGATACACGAAAAATAGTTACCACGTTGGGCGCCACCTTCTTAATTTCACAAAATATAATCTAAAATTCTATCAAAAATTATTCCGACTATCATATAATGTTACATGATATTACATGCTTCACGCATAACCTACTTTAATAGGTATATTGTCTTTGGAAATATTTTGTGCCCACAAAACTTGTGAAAAGGGTGAGATTGGACCCGATGACCGATCCTTCGTTAATCCCGTCCGATCTGTTCCCTTTGATCCCGGGCTTTGGTCGGCTTAGCATTTATCCACTTTTTATACTGTAGACTATTCTCTAGGGCTATTGGTTGAAAAAGTAGATAGATAACCGTTTATTTGCAATAACTTGTGTGTTTGCAGTCATCTTTTGTGGTCCAGGTCCAGTGACAAGGCCACGTTAATATAAAAGGATAGATTCTCACATGTTCCTGTCTTGCTTGAACTTTGCCGTGTTATTGACACAAATCTAGAGGCGTTCTTCTTTTTTTTTTAGTCTTGAGAATACTACTCTCGGTTTCATCAGCTCCACTGCAAGCTCGTTTACGTGGTTTAGAATACGGTCTCTGTGTTTAGGCATAGCTTTTACTAGCTCCTCCTTTACTGTGGAAATTCCTAAGTCATGGTGTAACCTCTCATTGGGTCATTGGTATGTATCAGGGCGAGCCAGTTATAATTTTCAGTAGCTTCGACTGAAATCTTTGCAATATCTCTGGGTTGGAAGTCGCTGCAGTGCCCCACAGCTGGATACCAGAGGTCCAAGTCGGCTTCATAATGCACTTATGTACATATGAAAAGTTTGTTTTCTAGAGATAACTTATTGCTGAATGTCCATGAAGGAGACAGATTGCAATATTTTATAAAAAAATGCAATAACTTGACATACCTATTACTGGTATAAGGAAAATTTTACTTAGTATCATAATGTTATGATAGGAGTCCTACATTTTGACTAATCCTATTAAATTAGATTATACGAAACGTGATTTTTCTGTCAACTTGTTTATTATAAGTCTACTATGGCTTTACTTAATTTGACGAATATTAAAACACATTATTTACAATACACACTTATGAATCTGACACCTAAAGTTTAATTAAGTGGCAATTTGAGCAGTTAGTATAGGTGCTATAAACTTGTAATGCATCCGGGAGGGAATGGTAGTGAATGCTTTGTCCGGAATCCCACAGTTCCTTCCCACTTAAAGCGAATGACGTAGCACCGAGTCTTTTTAGTGGGTAAACCTTGTTCTGACTTGGTGAGCCCCACATAACCTTTTTTTTATCCCAGGAAAATGGCCTATCCATACACCGCCGGGGGACGTTAGGTTATGTGGGGCTCGAACCCTCTAAGAACCTGGGGTGATCCCTCTGCCGCATAGTGGTCGGCGCCTTGGGTACTATAGAAACGACAAAGGCGCCTTCCGCGGACGTCCCTATACGGCGGGACCCAAGTGACCCAACACGCAGAGTAGGTTATGTGTGGCTCACCAAGGCATTTTTCTTCGAAAAAAAGTATTATGCAACAAAAATCTGATCTCTTGATGACAAACATAAACATGTTGTATAGTTTTATTACAGAAGCTAGTCTTGGTCATAGTTTAATAATGTTTGATGCTGTATAAGTCGATGAAAACTTTAACTTTAACTTTATTTCTTTATTTTACTCACACAAAAAATCGAACAGAATTACATAGCAAATGTATAAGATACGTTTGATGTTCATTCTTGTGTGAGTCTGATGCCTATGCTAGGTATTCCTGTATTACAGGTCATCAGGCTCCCACCACCTCAGGTCACTAATAAGCATTAATTTTACACTTTAATATTAACTTACTCGTATCAGAATTACAAGAAAAACAAGAAATATATGTGTGTGTGTGTGTGTGTNAAATTTCAGGTGGTGAGGAGAGTCTTTTGTTATTTTCC